CATAATGAGTCATATCAAAAGAACATGACCGTGTCCAAGAATAGAATCAACAGCAGAGGAATAATCAAACCCAAAAACAGCGGTGGCCTTTCAACATCAGTCTGACTCAGATACCGATCCACAACAGACATATATTTGATTATGTCTGTGATCTTAAAGCTAATTTTCATGTTCAGACCATCAACAAGCACTTTACTGCTGATTATAATGAAGTCAAGCAAACACGACGAGCAGGAGTCAGACAGAAACTGGTTATTTCTGGCAATCTCCAGTTTGAGAGAAGCAGGTCATATTACAACAATATCTTTCATTTTTTCCAAATTGGTCGCGAATTGAAAAATGTATTGTGCACAAATAGACTCTGAGTTACAAATCTCCATCTGAAAAGACCCAGAACAAAACCATTATTTTATCCATTTGCCGAGTATGTGTCACAGAGAGGAATTTCTACAATCTTGTACGTATAATAAGAGATTATTTATGGCTTATAGCGACAGTATGTAAAATTTTCAATTAAAATAACATCTACATATTTTGTGTGTCCACAGATTATAACAGTAATTGTTTTTCATTGCAATGAGTAATTAAAGTAGCAATATGGAAGATTTTCAAGTAATCATTAAATGGCCCTAATCATTCAAAAGGCATTAATAACACCGTGCCCTTTTCAAACACTTTTTAACTGATTACAGTAGTTCAGCTGAGATATTTGGATTTCAAAATTGGATTTACAGCTGCTAAATCTTGCTATTTCGACGTCCCGCCCTCCACCGTTTTACCAATCAAAAAGTCTGTGACCAGGTTGCCAGAACTCACTGCATTGAGCTAATCTCACTGGTAAAGTAACAAATGGCCGCAGAACTAAAAAAACGTTTTCTACAAAATTCACAGATGAAAACTAGCCCCAACTGAAAAGTGTGCATATAAAATACACAGAGTTTGAACGGTTTCTAGCTCAACCCCAGCAGGTGGATTACATCAGTAATCAGTGAGATACAGTATGTATCACATCACAAATGTTATGATTCTGGCAACACAAAATGGATTGTAGTTGTAATGACTTCATTAGACCACTAAGAGTTCCTAATACATACAGTATGGCCCCTTTAATATCCACTCTAACTGTGAGGGAGTGTCCTTCACATATAGAGCTGACCTGGTATCGCCATGGTTACAAGTCATACTAGAGAAAGTTACATAGTGTGGCTTTAAGTTTTATCATAGCAGATGCTGTAACTCACAAGTGAAATTCTTCCAACTTAACATTATTTTTGTATAGCCCTAAATCACAACAGAAGTTATCTCGGAGGATTTTACAAAGCTGTCGATTCACCATCACAGATCAGAGAATCAAACAGTTCAAAGACAGGAAATGCAGTGATAGAAAATGAGAAACCTCGGTATCTTCACCCACGAACAGACGGGCTAAAGATCCAGGACTCAGGCTGTAGAACGAGGACAGAGGGCACCTGACGCACAAAAAAACGTTTTCAACACATTTTGCGATACATTCCAACCCAAACCCACGCTTCAATGGAGAGTCCTTGTTTATTAAAATGTGAGGGTACTTTTGAGCGGGCATGAGCAGAGAGAGGCACAGGGCCCTGGAGCGTCCCTGGCTCAGAGGTGTTCCAACAGATGCCTTCTCTTTCAGTGTCGCAGATGGGACCCTCCTCTCCAGTCTCAGCTGCAAAGTCCAGCGATAAAAACACTGAACGCATCATAGTCAGGAGTGACCTCAGAACATCCATGTAACTCTTGGTCTCTTTGGAGCAAAAAATACCTACATGTATTAAAAACATAATCCGTGGTGCAGAAATTCAAGCTTTTGCTTCAGAGAAAGAAGGTCCTGAGCTCCTCTTTACTTCCAGGGCTTTCTGTGTGGAGTTTGCATGTTCTTCTTGTGAGTGCTACGGTTTCCCCTACCACTAAAAACATGTACTGTAGGTGAATGAGTGTGTGTTCGTGAGTGCGACTGTGGGACTACAAATGTGTCCATTGATATACACTGTCCCAACCAAATAAACAATAAATAAATAAAATACAGTAAATTTAGACCAAAGTTAGATAATTTATTTGTCACGTGGTGAAAGAAAGGAGGACCCAAAGCAGGAATGCAAAAAATAATGATTTGATGATGATAATAAAAGTCCAAGGTACAATAAAACCCTCAAAAATCCGGAAAGTACCAGGAACATTGACAGACACTGACAGACCAGGACAATGCAATGAATGGGGTGGTCACAGGTACATGTAAACACAGACAGACACAGGTGCGACACAGTGGGCGGGGCAGACGATAACTACACACGGGAACAGGACAGGAAATAAAACTAAAACAAAACCACAGGAGAACTAATGTTAAAATAAAACCAAGTACCAACATAACAAAAAAATCCACAAAAATCCAAACAAAACCATCCACAGCGTTCACGACAGCCTTGGACCAAAGTGAAGGTCAGGACCAGGACTCGAGCGTCTTTATGAGTCTTTGCGTGAGGGATTACGCAGCTCCTTGAACATCCTTCTCCACGGGTGTGATGTGGTTTTCTGCCCGCTGCACAGAGAACTCACAGAGAGCTACAGCTGTTTCACGGCACGAGTCCAAACGCCTCACGATCCCTCGCTTTCCTCCTGGTTTAAAAGCTACATCCGCTCACCAACCATCCCCAGAGACAGACTACCCCAGCAGGCGTGAGGAGCAGGCAGATGGTTTACTAGATCTCTGCTCTTGCTTCTTCTCCACAGAATTATTGTGTAATATCTTTCGCTGATATTTCAAAGGAGTTAAGTGTGAAAAGACACAAGCCTCTATTCAACCAAATCCAAGTGATGTGTTATGAAAAAGAAAAAGCAATCCATCGGTTTCAAGTCACAGCACGAGGCCTTTGGCTGGAAAACCAATCGTAGAAATGCTAACAATGCACAAAAGACAATACATGTCCAACCAAATGTTTTTGTTCTTTTAAACAGTTCTCTCTTCTATATTCTTCTCCAGGCATCCTGCGAATATTAACTAATGTTCTTGGGCGGCACGGTGGCTGAGTGGATAGCACTCTCGCCTCTCAACAAGAAGGTCCTGGGTTCGAATCCCGGTTGGACCAGGGCCTTTCTGAGTGGAGTTTGCATGTTCTCCCCGTGTCTGCGTAGGTTTCCTCCGGGTGCTCCGGTTTCCCCTACCACTAAAAATATGTACAATAGGTCTGGCATGTGCCTCCTGTACTGGCCCCACTCCCAAAAATAACAATTGTAAACCGCTTTGAGACTCCGATGTGCAGTGAAAAGGCGGTATATAAATAAATAAAGAGAAAGATAATGTCAAACTGAACCAAACTAATGTTAAATAGATCTGTAACACTGGTCGATCATTTATAGTTTGAACATTCTTTATCATTAGTGATCTAAAAATGTCAACACATGCATTGGTTTCTGCTTTGAAAGATATTCATTTGAGTTTGTAAGTGACATCACAACCTGCCAAACTAAAGACATAACTGAACGTAATGGAGTGAGTATTGTTGGCAGTGAACATGAAAATAATGTTCACTGCTAATGTTCATTGAAAATAATTGCAAATAATTACTAAAACACATATGACTCCCTCTAAAGTCTAAATACAACTTTAAGTCATGAGAAAAGCTAAATCGCCAACAATGTGCTTTCATTATGTCACCTTTAAAACAACCACAAACTTCATGATAAATAAACATAAATGGACAGTCTGTAACATGCCCGAGCAGCTGAATAAAGTCTGTACAACTACAACCAATGCCTGAGACACATGCAGCTGCTACGCTCTGAATACAGATGCAATCCACCTACTGGGGTTTAACTGTGTGGTTAAGTGTGTGGCGTTATCGGTTTGTGAATTGTGTTATTGAAAAAAAAAGTCAAAGCAAAAATCAGCTAAACACGATTAATTGATATAAATAATGATAATAACCAGACAAAGTCAGACCATGTGCACATGTGACCTGTTATGTATATGTCATTTAAAAGGAGAATATTGCATAACCTTTTTACATTTTCAAAACTCTTTTGAAAATGTAATAGTTTATAATGATGAGCTTCCAGCTCCTGCAGCTCTGAACAGTCTCAACATGACCAACATGACCAACATTATCCGCGGTGCAAACAGATTCTCCTCCTCGCACTTCCATAAATCACATGTAACATGATTTCATCCATGAGTTGGTCCCATGCAGCGAGTCAGAGGCACTGGTCAGAGGCACTGGTCAAGGATATAGGTCAGGTATTTACTGTGCACGTTCCACTGCAGACAACACTCAAGTCAAACTATGAAGACATAAACTAAATTGTCTGACACGAAGATGAAGTAGAACTGTGTATTTGTTCATACTGAGAGTCTGTTGTGTCGATTTGGATTAGAACAACACTGTGTTTTTGGTATATTTACAGTGTACATATTACACAGGCTAGACGATTCAAAGCAGTGAAATATCAATTGGAGAAAACTCCAAACGCCTCAAAGAGATGTCTTTCTTTACTCAAATCATACAAAATAAATCAACTGCTTTAACTGGACTCTTTGAATAAAATCAAAGAATTTTGTGTTTTCAGTTACAAATGTATTAATCTATTGAAGTCACGCATGCATCACGTTTCCATAATGTGATTTACGATCGTAGTCCTGTATTTATTTCAAAATGCGATTATCAAATTGATTCTTTTCTGAATCATTAAAAGGCATTTAAAGTCCTGTACAATCATAGGCAATGTATTCAAGTAGACTGAGAATGATTGTTATTACCTACATATGAAAACAACAAACCAGCACAAGTCATACCATAGACTGTGCTTCTATTTAGTGATGGGAACAAAACTGTTTTTATCCTTTTTTACTCATTATTGGAACAAGCACGTGCTCTAAACAGCTTCTTTGGAGACAGTTTACCACATGATTCCGTCTGCGTAAAAAGACACTGTGAAACCAAGCCATTATGGAGCAAAAATGATCAATTAGGCACAGCAGGACTCACCCAAAATCCCCAGAACGAAAAGTTTGAGCAGGACTGCCTCATGTGTATCCATCCCTGAGAAGCGGCTCTGTCCCAGTTTGGAGTGAAAACCTCAGCTACAACTCCACCACAGCGTGCGTCTGAAACGTGCCATCATCATTGTTATCCGCGGGCTCCATCACGCTGCCAAAAACAATTAGAGCGCATCTGATGGGAAACAAACCACGACTTAAGATGTTGGAAAAACAAAGTCAAAGCAAAAAAACACAAAGCAAATGACAAGAGAGACAGAGAGATTTCCGTTGAGTGCGCGCGCTGCCGTGTTTGAGCGCCTTTTCTGGACCACGACCACTGCCCCGCATCTTTACGCAGAGAGGAGGGGGAGGGAGGAAGAGAGGGAGAGAGAGGGAGAGAGAGGGAGAGAGGGGGAGAGGGGGAGAGAGAGAGGGAGTGGGATAATCCTCCACCCGGACTGCCCTGTCAATGGATCCGTGTGGACAGATTACTGCAAAAACCTACTGAACTGAATTAATTACATCTCCTCCAGGCCAATACGTCATACTTCCTATGGATTCTAATATTGTGTTTATGGCTTTTGTTTTTACAGTAGAGCAATAAACGCCTGTTGTGTTGTGTCAATGTATGTGTGAATTTCATGTATAGTGATTAGAAAGTGATTTGAAAGCTGCTTTGGAATCTGAATCATGAATGTGAATGAAAGTTAAACAACAGCGCTCTCTTGTGGTTAGATATGACACTACAAGCCGTTTGTAACTGGGTTCAATAGGAGTGGCAGGACTATAAAGAAGTGAAAGTGACAGGTCTTTGCACATATTATGACTTATTATCTGCTTCCACTGTAGGTTTTATGAAATGTTATAATAGTAAACTTGTAACTTTATACTTCGGCCACTCTGGGGCGACAGTGGCTCAGTTGGTGGAGCATTGGCCTGTGAGCCCAAAGGTCGTGGATTCAAGCCCACCATGACACCTTCTCTACCGACTCCCACTGCTATCGTTGTGTCCATGGGCAAGACACTTAACCCACTTTGCCTAAAAGGAGCGCGGAAGTGATGTTCACTGCTTGCCTTGATGTGTATGTGTATGCATCAAACTGAAATTTAACGAATAAAGGACCTTATATATATATAGATATCAGAATCAGAATCATTTTTATTGCCACGTAAGTAACAGGAGGTCACAGACTTGGAAATTGCTATGGCTCGGTGCAACAGTCAGAGAGAGAGAATACAAAATAAAGAATAAAAAACACTTCTAAGGAATAAAAAAAATAAAAAAATTAAATAGAGTTACAATTATTATTATTATTATATAAATATATCTCCTGTTTCATTCCAAAGATTGTGTTGCATTATTGCCGGAATAATGAAGAACAACTCAAGCTTTAGTATTTAACATTTTTACAAGAACATTCTTTTTGTGGTACAACAGGTACGACTTGTCATTCAACAGGAGGTCCCTGGACAGACATGAAGTAAAAACAATCGTACCAATTGTCTTCATCCTCATTATAACATGGGTTACAAATGATTCCATTTGTCATATTATTCCATTGGTCATCGCCGGATGTCTGCTCCAGCCCTAATGTCTGACCCTAACCTGTTATTATTATAGATCCATGAACCTAATGCACGGGGGAAATACGAGCATCTTGTGTTTGGATTGTTGGGAGTGGACGGATATGACCGCGGTGAAGTTAGTTTGAAGTTGGATATCCGACAGACATTCAACGGTCATTCCCTCTCGGTACACCTCTCCTTCTCTCTGGGTTCAGAGCGACTCGAAAGCCGCTCCAACATTTTAGTGCACCCCTACCACACACAGTACGGTAAACACGCGGAGACATGTACGCTGGTCTAATATTTACATATACAAAATCATTAAAAATACTTACAACATTTTAATGATAAAAGAAGAGGTGTACCCCCTGCAGCTAGTGAAGGACTATGATCCTGACCTGATTTGGAGTCAATAGGTCACATGACCTGGAAGCTATTGAGCTAAAATTCTAATATTTACATATAAAAATTCATTAAAAATACTTAAAACACTTTAATGATAAAAGAAGAGGTGTACCCCCTGCAGCTAGTGGAGGACTATGATCCTGACCTGATTTGGAGTCAATAGGTCACATGACCTGGAAGCTATTGAGCTAAAATGCTAATATTTACATATAAAAATTCATTAAAAATACTTAAAACACTTTAATGATAAAAGAAGAGGTGTACCCCCTGCAGCTAGTGGAGGACTATGATCCTGACCTGATTTGGAGTCAATAGGTCACATGACCTGGAAGCTATTGAGCTAAAATGCTAATATTTGCCTTTAAAAAATCATTAAAAATACTTAAAAATACTTAAACGACAAAAAAAGAAGTGTACCCCTTGCAGCTAGTGGAGGATTATGATCCTAAACTGATTTGGAGTCAATAGATCACTTGACTTGGAAATATTTACATGTTAAATAAATATTTAGAGATTGAAAATGAAAAAAGTACTTGTACTATGCAGCTAGTGGAGTAACATGATGCAACACTAGTAGGGCTACCATGAGATGACTTTATTTTTTCATTATGAAAATATATTGAACATAGGCCTGTCCCTTGTTTCTCTTCTTCACTGGCATAACACACATGCCCAGCTCTTTTCCATTGCATCCTCCAAGTCCTTGCTTTCCAACGATACACAAGAATCATGGAACCACCTGTCACAGTCATCACACTGTATCTGTTCAATTGAAAACAAAAATAATTAGTAGTTTTTTTCAGTTGTCATAAAAGAAATCTCATTTGTACAATGGAGCAGAAGGGTCATCTAATTTTCTCTTTTATTTTCAGAGGCTATGAGAGTAAAGTCAGAATATTACAATATTACAAGATTAATCAAAATCAAAATATTATGAGATTAATCTCAAAATATTATGTGGTCCGGTTCGGAGACCACAGCCATGGGTTCTGGTTAGGAGGCCACAGCCAGGGACCGGAAGGGGTCTGGTTCGGGGACCACAGGATTTCATCTCTGCTGTTTGCGGACAATGTTAAGTAAGTAAAATAAGTAAGTAATCTTTATTTATATACCGCCTTTCACAGACCAGAGTCAAAAAGCGGTTTACAAACATGTTGTCCTGTTGGCTTCAACAAACCAGGACGTGCAACATGCACAGGGACGGTTTGCAGCAGAGTGTGAAGCGGCTGGGATGAGAATCAGCACCTCAAAATCTGAGGCCATGGTGCTCGACCGGAAAAAGGTGCATTGCCCTCTCCAGGTGGGTGGGGAGGTCCTTCATTTTGTTTGTTTTTAAAGCTTTGAATGGACTGGCCCCTCCTTACATCTCGGACCTCATCCAAATTCACCACCCGCCCCACGCGCTGAGGTCCGAAGGCCGGCTCCAGCTCGTGGTACCTAAGACCAGACTTAAAACCCCGGGGGACAGGGCCTTCTCTGTGGCTGGACCAAAGCTGTGGAACGCCCTGCCCCCCCACGTCAAAACAGCTCCCTCGTTGGAATGTCTGATGAAGGGGAAGAAAATTGATGGATGGATAATGTCAAATTATTATGAGATCCATTTCAAAATATTATGAGTGCCTGGGCCCCATAAGAGACCTGCTTGCGACCCTGGGGAGAGACTTGCGGAGCGCAGGAGAGAACTGCAGACAGAGCAGGTCCAGCCTCTGAGCACCTTGGTACTCGTAATGTTTTTAGCCAATTGCTTCAGTATGTTTTTATAAAAAAAAACATATATTATTCTACATTTACCTGTTTGTTGAGGAGCAGAAGAGGATCCAGCACAAGGTCCAGTGGAGTATCAGGAGGGCCAAGAAGGACTTTGGGAAAAATCTGGAGCAGAAGCTGGCTCAGAGAAACGCCTGCGACATGTGGAGAGGACTAAAGAACATCTCCGGCTTTGGGCAGAGTGCCAGTGGGACAGCGGATGGAGACCAGCACCGGGCGGATGAATTTAACCAATATTTCAACCAGTTTGATTCTTCCCCCCTCCCCATCTCCCCCCCTCCCTCCCCCACCTCTTCACACGTGCCCAGCCCGGTGGACACTGCCTTCGGCTGCCCCGGGCCGTCCTGCCCCCACACTCCCAGCCCCCCCCTCTGACAGTACACCCCCCCCGCCCTCTCCATCACACCGGACCAGGTGAGGAGTCAGCTCCAGAGACTGACTCGGAGGAAATCCACAGGACCGGAAGGGATCAGTCCCAGGCTGCTGAGGACCTGTGCAGACCAGCTCTCTGAGGTCCTCGCTGAGGTCCTCAGCTACATGTACAACCTGAGCCTCAGCCTGGAGAAGGTCCCTGTCCTGTGGGAGACCTCCTGTGTGATCCAGGTTCCTAAAACAGCACACGCCAAGGAACCGGCTCACTACAGACCAGTCGTACTCACCTCCCACTGACCTCCCACCTGATGAAGACCATGGAGCGGCTCATCCTCACCCACCTCCGCTCTGTGGTCAGCCCCACCCTGGACCCGCTGCAGTTCGCCTACAGGCCCAACATCGGAGTAGAGAACGCCGTCATTTACTTACTGCAGCGGACGCTCTCCCACCTGGAGCCTGCAGGGAGCGCTGTGAGGGTCATGTTCTTCGACTTTTCCAGTGCTTTTAACACCATCAGACCGGCGCTGCTGCGGGGGAAGTTGGAGGATGCAAGAGTGGACAGTAGCCTCACTGCATGGACCATCAACTACCTCACCGCATGGAACATCGACTACCTCACTGTATGGACCATCAACTACCTCACTGTATGGACCATCGACTACCTCTCAGACCGACCACAGTACGTGCGGCTGCGCAGCTGTGAGTCTGAGGTGGTAGTCTGCAGCACTGGGGCCCCTCAGGGCACTGTCCTCTCACCGTTTCTCTTCACCATCTACACCTCAGACTTCACACATGACACACACAGCTGTCACCTGCATAAGTTCTCCGACGACTCCGCCATTGTGGGCTGTGTGTCTGAGGGGAACGAACTGGAATATGGGTCGGTTATCAAGGACTTTGTCGACTGGTGTGAGTGCAACCACTTGTGCTTGAACACCAGTAAGACCAAGGAGATGGTACCTGTGCTAACACCAGTAAGACCAAGGAGATGGTACCTGTGCTAACACCAGTAAGACCAAGGAGATGGTAATCGACTTCAGGATAAAACCACTTTCCCACACGCTGCTGAACATCCAGGGGGAGGACATTGAGCATGGTGGACAGCTTCAAGTACCTGGGTGTTTACATAAACAATAAACTGGACTGGTCCCATACCACCAACGCTCTGCACAAGAAGGGCCAAAGTCGCCTCTTCCTTCTGAGGAGGCTGAGGTCCTTCGGAGTGAGCAGGCCTCTGCTCAGGACTTTTTATGACTCTGTGGTAGGCTCTGCCATACACTACGCTGCCGTGTGCTGGGCCCCGGGCAGCACAGAACGGGACAGCCCCCTGGACTCTGTGGAGGAGGTGAGGGACAGGAGGGTGCTAGTCAAGCTCCTCCAGCAGACTGTTCCAGAGACGGGGCCGTAGTGATGGACGTAAAGCGCTTTGGGTGACCTTGGTCTGTAAAATGCGCTATATAAATAAACATTACTTACTCACTTACATATGCCTCAGCTTGAGTGTGTGTCCTGGCTTTGGTAATGGAGGAGTCTGCTGCAAGAACCGGGATGGTTCTTTGGATAAAAGCAGTTATGAGTAATAAGAAGGCCCAAGACCATGAAGACATGAAAAAAACCAGTGAAAGAACCTAAAAATTGATCCTGAAACACACGGGAAGCCAATGCAACAAATTTAAAACCGATGTAATAAAACTGTACTGTATTAAAAGTCAGGATCATATTCCTCCCCTAGCTGTAGGGGGTAAACCTCTTCTTTTGTCATTTAAGTATTTTAAAGTATTTTTAATGAATTTTTAAAGGCAAATATTAGCATTTTAGCTCAATAGCTTCCAGGTCATGTGATCTATTGACTCCAAATCAGGTCAGGATCATAGTCCTCCACTAGCTGCAGGGGGTACACCTCTTCTTTTATCATTAAAATGTTTTAAGTATTTTTAATGAATTTTTACATGTAAATATTAGCATTTTAGCTCAATAGCTTCCAGGTCATGTGACCTATTGACTCCAAATCAGGTCAGGATCATAGTCCTCCACTAGCTGCAGGGGGTACACCTCTTCCTTTATCATTAAAATGTTTTAAGTATTTTTAATGAATTTTTAAAGGCAAATATTAGCATTTTAGCTCAATAGCTTCCAGGTCATGTGACCTATTGACTCCAAATCAGTTTAGGATCATAGCCCTCCACTAGCTGCAGGGGGTACACCTCTTCTTTTCTCATTTAAGTTTTTGTAAGTATTTTTAATGATTTTATAAAGGCAAATATTAGCATTTTAGCTCAATAGCTTCCAGGTCATGTGACCTATTGACTCCAAATCAGGTCAGGATCATAGTCCTCCACTAGCTGCAGGGGGTACACCTCTTCTTTGATCATTAAAATGTTGTAAGTATTTTTAATGATTTTGTATATGTAAATATTAGACCGGCGTACATGTCTCCGCGTGTTTACCGTACTGTGTGTAGTACGGGTGCACTTAAATGTTGCGGCTAATGTCTGTCGGATATCCAACTTCAAACTAACTTCACCGCGGTACGGAAATGAAAGAAAGTGATGCATGCGAGAAAGAGCGTTTATACATCCAGGCATATCTAAAAACATTTACCATTGGATGTTCAATCACAATAAATACATAGCCCATGAGTAGCATATATGACATAATAAGTTTATACACAATTAAATAAAAACGTGAATCCTCTGCTTTGCATTGGCCTTGACCTACACCATTTTACCTTGACCATATTAGGTCCAGACTGCACACATCTAAAGTGTATTTTCAGGGATCACAGACTTCTTGAGCCCATGAACACAGTCCGATCCTTCCCAGAGGATCGTAAACTTTGCGCCTGGAGCTTCTGTAAACACATCCCGGAGGCGCAGTGTTTGCGCTCTCTCCAAACACGCTCCTGGGAAACTTTACCCATGGCCAGTGCCCCGCAGCACCGGGCCACCGCGCTCTGTCACGGCCGAAACATTTCACACATTTTTAGGATGCCTGGTTTCGTCAGTCCGGGACGAAGCGGTTAAAAAGATGTCAACAAGTGACGCAGCAGAGAGACGCAGTGAAGGAAGAGAGACAGAGCCGCCTTTCACAGCAGAGCGGGCGAGGACTGCAACTGCGCGGTAAGTCCTGTCTTCATGGACTTGAAACACCTTTTACTAAGTTATTACTAAGTCTACTACTGATCTGTGTTATTAATCCTCTTTATAATCTAACTGTGGAGAAGAAATATAATGAGAATATTTGTTCAACTGTTGTGAAGATGACGCGTCTTTTACCTTTTCCACCTTTGCGTAAACTTTGGTCTTCAGGCTGCGTCTAACCCTGAGATACAACTTCTGAGCGCGTTTGTTTGTCCTAAACACACATAAACCTGAACATTCGGGACCAAGTGTGTGATGTTAAAGTGTGAACTGAAGAAAAGCAGCAGCCACAGCTCAGAGCGTGGAGCTAGGATTCTGTGGAAGTTTAGGAAAGATATGCAGAGACTCAAACACACGTCACACAGGAGCTTCACTTGCTGCTGTTCATACATCTTTGTGGATAGAAGTGTAAAAGGACAATATTTGTATTATCTTAAATTTGTTAACCATCACAACATGAAATCCTATGTTGCATTATAATTCCAGTAAACTAAAGTGGTATGTGTTTTGCATTGGGATTACTGATTTGAAATGGTATTTGTTCTCTGTCTGCAGGTTAAATCCACAGTAACCCCGAGATAAGACAGTAAAGAGGTGTTTAAAACCATCCCTCTCAGTGATGCAAAACCCAGGCTTATTATTATAAAGGCAGTATTATAATTATCATCAGTGCAAAGCTGCATTTATGTTCACATTGTGTCTAACATCTGCAGTGTCAGACGAGCTCATGCATGTGTCCTGTCTGCAAGAACTGTAAATACACAAATATATACACACCATACACACACACACACACACACACACACACACACACACACACACACACACACACACACACATACACGTTTTTGTTACCTGGTGGGTCCCTTTGACAGGGCCGTTCAGAATGGGACCCATAGACATAATCTTTTTTTACTGGGACTACTTTAAGTAATACAAAACAGTCAATATAAACCAAACAACTATTTTAAAGGAATTTTATTTTAGATTTTGTTTTCGAATTGCAGTGATTCTATTTTTGACATAGAATTTAATGCCACTCCATGTCCGATGTCTAAGGTCATCTGGTGAGGCATTAATGCAGGCCAGGCAGTGAGACTTCCCAGGGACCTTTCCAGTCTGTATGAAAGGTGTCATGGTCTTCTCCACAGCCTTCACCTCAGATGCAGACCATGGCTTTCTTACACGTTCTAGGGAGAGAAATAAAAATATATTAGCAATATACACTCCCAGGGTTAGGACCAAGCAGCCTGGCTGTAATCCCCCACCTGGTACACTTACCAGAAGGGGCACTGCCACTACCATGGGGTGCATCTGGATGAATGGTTGAAGGTTCTCCGCTTGAAGTTTCTTTTAGCCCGTCCGTTTGTGAGAGGATCTCTACTGCTCTCCCTGTCGCACAGAAAATAAAAATACAAGTGGCCTTTAGGGGAAAAAAATCATACATATTTTAATAATATCAAGAATTACCTTCAGGCTCAATTTGTATCTGGTCGAGGCTCTTTCCTTCGAATTCCGTCACTCTTCCCTGCTCCATGGCCATCAACACTTTGCTGATTTTGGCCAGCTCCAGTGTCCCCTCTGGTAGTCTGTAATATTGCCTGTGGATGCGAATGTCATGGCCGAGGAAGTTGGCAAGTATGTCCATCTCATTCTCTTTCATATTGAGAACTGTAGACATAGTAGCTATGTGCTTTCTAAGTTTGGTTGAGGATAGCATCTCTGGATGCACCGCACCACATTCTTTGGCTACCTGGCGTAGGGAGTCTGATCCCCTGATGTGGGTGTCTGCGCCCGGGCGGGAAAAGAAGTATGGGTTATGGTCAGAGATGGAACAGGCCCTTCTGTTCTCCACCAGCACCTCCATCGAAGCAATCATTTCAGGAGTCAAAAGAACCGGCACTTTCCGACTTCTTTTCCCTTTAATTTCAATGCGTTGAAAATGCTGACACAGCTTTTTCTCAAGTTGGGACAGTCCCAGAGCAATGTCAGAATGGATCCCAGTCTTACTTCTTAAGGTAAAGGCTGTCAGTGGCATCTTTGAAACCTCACCTTCCCTTCTTCGATTGAAAATGATGACCTCACAAAGAGTCAAAACTGCCAGTTTAGACCAATGCTTAGACGTTGGCTCACTTATTAGGGTTTGCACATATTCAGGTCGACATACCTCAATATGTGCATGCATGGCTCTAACGTCCTCAGTCAGAGGGAGCAGGTCCGGAGTGTTCCACTTGGCTTGCCGGAGGGTCTGTAGGGCAGCAGAAGAAACACAGACGTCCCACCTCTTCTCAAAAAGCAGCCGGCTTCGTTGGAGGTTTTTAATAAATAGTTCATCAACACAATGCTCCATTTTTGAGTCACATTCAAGAATATCTGCTAGCTTTCTGAGGCTATGGCCGAGTTTGAGGGCCAAGGATGGAGTCTTGTATTGATTTGTTTCCTCATCATATCCAGCCACAGACCTGACTGCATCAATCACATGGTTAAAGTTGGAAGGAATAAAGAAATCCTTAATTGTTTTCAGTTTCCCTGCGGTTTTTGCTTCGTTAATTAACCTACCGACTTCTCTCATTTTCTGCCTAATGTAATCATGCTTAGTCTTATCATGCCCGTGTTTTAAGTACAGGTGCTCTCCGAGTCTCAGAATCCCCTTTTCTGCTTTGACAACACCCGTGACCTCATCCTGATGCATTGCCGAAATTAAAGACCACAGCTTTTTGCTGATGCCCTCCGGTACAGGCTGGGCTAGGGAGCAGAGGGACTGGACCCTACTTCTACCTGGTTTAGCCTGGGCATCTTTCTGTGAAAGCCGGCACCTGGCCACATGCCTCCACAGCCACTTTCGCTTAAGCAATGCCCCACAGTCTATACAGTGCAAAAACTCACTGGATTTAACTGGGGAATTTGGCTGTTTAGCTGGGACTAAAGTTCCAATGCCGGCCTTTAAAACCTCAAAATTGTGCTCACGGTTTCCACTATTCCTGATCAAATCAAACTGAAGTTTACGTGCTTTAGATTTCACAGGTAGAGCCAATGCTCTGGCTACGTCACTTTCATTTCCATGTTTTCTAGTCAAATGACGGGACATTTTGTGGCAGGACATTGAACAGTAGAGGCAGAAGTGTCTCTTGCTGTATACTCGCCCCCCCTTTTTTCTTCTTTTGCAGCTGCATGATAACAATCTTATTTGCCTTTGGTTCGTCACTTTCCGAGTCTTGAAGAAAAGTGTTTTTGATTTTTCTTTTTCCATACTTTTTTACAGGTTTCTTCTTGACAGTTAAATCGTCAGAATCTGAGTCGACTTCATCAATTAGGGACTCTTGACTAAGCTGCACAAACAACAAATAATTTGTAATCATTCTATATAACAATTTGAAGTCATGACTTGTAGTCAGCACTTACCAGTGGTTTGTAAGCGTGCGCTTCAGTGTGCTCCTCCATGATTTCTTGCAGCCTAATGAACCACACACTTGCACCTTTTTCTAGCCTGACACCTGATTTCCTCTGTTGTGCTGCTCCATGATTGGCTCCAGCCTGCTGGACTGAAATTGCCCCAGTGTGCCCCTCCTTGATATCCCGCAACCCACCACCAGGGTTCCGACACATAACACACTTTTTTCAGGAAAGTAAACCTCCAGGGGTCCTTTCCATATTTTTACAGAGACTGCATAAGGACCGTTAGAAAAGCATTACCCATTGATTATTAAGCTTGGACCAGTGGGGTCCGGTGTTCGGGCCCCACCACGTAAAACCAGTCCCCATGACGTGAGTGGAATCTCAGGTTATGGAACCCACCAGGAGTTGAAAACAAGTGCACACACACACACACGCACACACACACACACACACACACACACACACACACACACACACACACACACACACACACACACACACACACACACACACACACACCTCCTGTCATTGCACGTCTGCAGTCTCTCTCCTTCACACACACACACTTCTCTGGCTCTTCCAGTGTAACCATGGACTGAAATGTTTACAGCTTGTGCAGATGCAGCAACATAAAGATAAATGATGATGTCCTAAAACGTACTTTGATGACGGGGAATTGTTCTGTGCTTGGTTACCGCAAAATGTTGTGAAAACCTCCTGGAAATCACCACAGAAAATATCTTCCTCATATACGCAGGGGTGGGAAAAATGAACAAACCAGTTTCCAGACACAGTATAAAGTTACAGGGTCCACATCTTAAATATAGATCTCTAGGTTGTCACAAAGTTTAGACTGTAAACCTGGATCCATACAGTCCAGTGTTGAGCATGTATACATGTATCAACCAGAGAAATGTGTATAAATTGTGCGTTTGAATAGTAGTATTTTATGCTAAGTATAAGGTTAAAATCTTCAGTAAAATACTGCTATTAATCACAATTTATTCATTTTATCGCATCATTCATTATATTCAACAAGCATTATTTATTTATTTATGTTGAGGCAATGTATACAGTAAATCCTGCATACAGAAAGCATCCAAATATATCATTAACAGAACTGGTAAACACATATGTACACACACATACTGTAGATACACACACACACACGCACAGATACACGCACACAGATACACACATACCTACACATGCACATACAGTAAGAATCCAAATATATTTTTAACAGAATTGGTAAACACACACACATGTATATACACACACACATACATGCCCCAACTTACATGACATTGTGATTAGTCTGCTGCAAAACAAATGTATCGTCAATGAGTAAAATAATAACCGCATTCAATAATTGTTATTCCACCCAATACCTACGATTACTTTTGCCAACTCCAGACGTATTATTGTAATATGACGGCTACGGAACATTAGCTTACAGTAAAACCATCTTTCAAAAGTGACTAATCCGTCGCAGAGGTGTGTCCGCACAGGCTTCTTTCTCTTGTTTCTTTGTAGCTTGGGAAAGTGGTTAGATCTGTCCTGGTTCATGTGTGTGTGTGTGT